CCGATATTTCCCCTCAAGCAAGAGATATAAAAGAAAGAATAAAGAAATAGGGCTATATCAGATTAAAAAGCTTTTGCATGGGTAAAGAAAACATCAGCAAAATGAAAGGGGAACCAACCATATGGAAACATATTTGCCAGTGATACCTAAGACTAGAGTTTGATCTCCAAAATACATAAAGAGCTTACATGATTGCACACCAGGAACACAAACAATCCAATTAGAAAATGAGCAAAGGACCTGAACGGACACCTCTCTAGGAGGACATAGACAGGGTCCAGAGACATATGAAAGGATGCTCAGCATCACTAGCCATCAAGGAGATGCAAATTAAAACCACAATGAGATACCACTTCACATTGGTCAGAATGGCCATCATAAAGAAATCAAGAAACAAGTGCTGGTGAGGCTGTGGAGATAAGGGAACCTTAGTACACTCTTGGCGAGAATGTAGAGTGCTTGAGCCACCACAGAAAACAGTATGGAATTTCCTCATAAAACTAAAACTGGAACTGCCTTTTGACCCGCCAATTCCACTGCTGGGATTATACCCTATGAACCCTGAAACACCAACTGAAAAGAACCTATGCACCCAATGTTCATAGCAGCATTATTTACAATAGCCAAGTGCAGGAAACAGACTAAGGGTCCATCAGTAAATGAATGGATCAAAAAACTGTGGTTCATTTACACAATGGAATACTATGCAGCAGAAAGGAAGGGACTCCTACCCTTTGAGAGAGCATGGATGGGTCTGGAGAGCATTATGCTAAGTGAAATAAGCTAGGTGGTAAAAGGCAAATACCCTGTGATCTCTCCTATAAGTGGAATCTAATCAACAAAACAAACAAGACAGCAAAATAGAACCAGAGACATAGAAATAAAGTAGTAACTGACCATAACCAGAGGGGGAAGCGTTGAGGGGTATAACAAGGCAAAGAAGAGGAAGGGTCATCGAGGAACATGTAGAAAGGACCCATGGACATAGACAACAGGTATAGAGGGAGGATCAATTGTGGGAGGTCAGGGTGGATAGAGTGGGTGAGAGTAATAGGGGGATAATGGAGAGAACTATAACTGCACAACAATAAAAAAAAGAAAGAGAAAGAAAGAAAACACTAACTGAAATGAAGAATACATTTCTGGGAATCAAGAATGAAGTAGATAAAGCAAAGGATCAAGTCAGAAACTTGGAAGATAAGGAAGAAGAAAATACTGGATCAGAACAGCAAAAAGGATAAAGAAAAATATAAATGTGATATAAGGCGCCTCTGGGACAACTTCAAACATACCAATAATCACATAATGTGGGTACCAGAAAGAGGAGATAGAGAGCAAGGAACTGAAAACCTGTTAGAGAAAATAATAACAGAAAACTTCCCCATTCTGGTTAAGGAAATGGGTATAGGATCCAGGAAGCAGAAAATGTCCCAAACCAGATGAACCCCAAGAGGCCCACACCAACACATATCACAATTAAAATGCCAAAGGTTAAAGACAAAGAGAATATTAAGAGCAGCAAAAGAAAAGCAGTTAATTAACCTAGATGGGAGCTTCTATTAGACTGTCAGGTGACTTCTCAAGAGGAACATTTCAGGCCAGAAGGTACTGACACAAAATATTCACTGTGATGAAAAGCAAGAAACTATAACTAAGATAACTCTTCCAAGTAAAGCTATCATTTAGAATCAAAGGACAGGTAAAGAGCTTCCCAGAAAAGAAAAAGATAAAGTAGTTCATCACTATTAAACTCGTATTACAAGAAATGTTAGAGTCTTCTTTAAGAAGGAAAAAAAGATGAAAAATATGAATAATAAAATTGCAATAAATACATATCTGTTGACAATTACTTTAAATGTAATGGATTAAATGTTTCAATCAAAAGACGTATGGAAGCTGAATTGATAACAAAAACAGACTCTTACATATGCTGTCTACCAGAGACTCACTTCAGATGGAAAGACACAGAGACTGAAAGTAAAGGGATAGAAAAAGATATTTCATGAAAATGGGAAAAACAAAAAGCCTGGTTAGCAATACTTATACCAGTCAAAACAGATCTAAAAAACAAAATAAACAAACAAGCAGCACAGAAACAGACTCATAGGTACAGAGAACATTTTGATGGTTGTCAGATGGGAGGGCCATTGGAAAGATGAGTAAAAAAGATGAAGGATTAAGTAGTACAGATTTGTAGTTACAGCACAGTTATGGGAATGTAAAATAAAGCGTAGGGAATATAGTCAATAATATTGTAATAACTATGTATGGTGCCAGATGGGTACTAGATTTACCAGGGTGATCACTTAGTAAGTTATATAATGTCTAATCATTGGATTGTATACCACCACTAATACAATACTGTATGTCAACTGTAATTGAAACATAAAACATTTTTAAAGTCAAAAAAGAGTGAGAAAGCATTTATAAGTAAAGTTTAAGATATAAGATAGTATTGTATTTAGTATAAATTCTGGAGAGCAGAAAGAAAGAAACTGAGATATGTAGAACAGAACCACATTGTAATAGTCATGAAAGGAAACTTTAATTTCATGTATTAATAAGGGGCAACTTTGTCAGGCTAGTAAATGATACACTGGATGCTTTAGGTTAAAAAATAAAAGTCATTTAGGAGTTGGCTCATGCCAGCAAAGAAAAAACACAGACACATTTCTGGTTTTATGTAGTATCAGTGTAAAGTGAGAAAGTAAAAAGATGTAGTAGATGGTTTTGAAAGGAAAACAATAGGAGTCTGAATAGGCTAGTACTAGGAAATAGCAGGTTTAGTAGAGTGACCTGTGTGGGCCACTTAAAACAGTAAAAGGATGGTAAAATGTCCCTTATTTGACTCCTGGGAAACCAGCCTCTCTGGTTTTCATTTCACTCAGACTGTTCCTTCTCAATCTCCTGTAATGATGAGATTTAATGGGTTTACAAGCTTTGTAAGAGTGTACTGCCCCAAGACTACTTCTGTGAGACAATCACTCTCTAGAAAAGGAATGAGCAAACTATGACTGCAAGGCAATGGTCCTTGAGCTAAGAATGTTTTTTACCTTCTGAGAGGGAAAAAGTATAAGAGTTAGTAGGAAGAAGCAAGGATGAAGAAGAGAGAAGGAAAAAGAAGAGAAGAATAAATAAGAAGAGAAAAAGGTAAAAAGAACACGAGGAGGAGGAAGAGGAGCAACAGCAGCAGCAACAGCTGAGAACACATTTGGACATGGCCTAAAATATTTACCATCTGGTCTTTTATAAAAAACTTTGCTGACATTTGTTCTAGAAGAGCTCCTGAAGCCCCAAGCCTTTAACATCACCCGAAACTGATGCCTTTCAAATGGATACTTCTTTTATATTCCATACTTGTTTTCATCTAATCTCCTATTCAACACAGACTAGATTTTAACAGTTATCTCAAGCTTCTTGAGTCCAAAATTCAATTTGTAATAACTTCTATAATCTCTCCTCTGTAATTTCCTCTATCTCAGTAAATGATACTGTACTTTATCCAGTTGCTTGAGACAAATCTTTGGAGTTATGCTTGAGTCTTCTTTCTCTCATGTGCTATTATACAATCCAAGAGTAAATCCTCTTAGTCTCACCTTCAATATATCTGCACAAATCTCCCACGTCTGAGTGTTTCCAACACAGCCTTAGCCACTATCTTCTCCCCTTGAAAGTACGTAATAGCGTCCCAAGTGGTATGCCTTTCTTGCTCATGTCTAAGTACCACCCACTCACCAAAGTTTATTCATTGCTTAGAAGTCAGAGAGACTCTGAAACTGTAAATCAGATTTGATGAATCAATCTGTTTCCATTTACAAAACAAACAGAAAAAAGAAAACCCCAAAACCAACCCCCAAAATTTCTCACTTCACTCAAAATAAAATTAACGTATCTACCTAGTCCATGCTACCTCTTATGACATCATCTCTTCCATCTTCAATCTTCCCCATGTCCACTGGACTCCAGCTATGTTGGCCCCCTTGCTATTCTTCACTCTAAGAATACATCTGTCCGAGAAGTTCAGCACCTGATGCTCCCTCTTCCTAGAATACTCAGAATCCACCTAGCTCATATTTTCACTATATTAGAGTCTCATCTTTGTTGACCTCATCAAAAAAGGTTTTCTCTGACTTTCTTGCCAAATAGTACAATACATCCCATCATTCTCCACCCCCTTTCCACTGTGTTAACTCTCTTTACAGTACCTAACACCAGAAAACACATATATCTACACACACACGCCCGCGTGCCCTTGGCCAAGTGGCTCAGTTGGTTGGAACACTGTCCCATACAACAAAAAGGTTGTGGGCTTGATTCCAGGTCAGGGCACATACGTAGGTTGTGGGTTCAATCTCCGGTTGTGGCATGTATCATGGGCAACAGACAGATCTGTCTCTCTTACACTGATATTTCTCTCTCCCCCCACCCCCTTCCTCTCTCTCTAAATATAAATAAAAAATAAACATATCCACATGTGAGGATAAAAATACACACACACACACGTATACTTTGTGTCCCTCCCTGTAATATATACCACATGATAGCAGGCACATTGCTCTTTTAATTACCTAAAAATATAACTGGATCATAGTAAATGCTCATCATATATTTGTTAAATGAATATAAAGAAGTACTGCATGAAAACACACCAGCTAACAAAAGGTATTCAAAGACATCACAGGGAAGAAGAGCAATTCTAAAAGATAAACTAACCAAGAAAAATTATCTAAGATGAAGTCAACTGATTTTAATTACGGGTATAGGTAAATCACTATTAAAATGTCAAAGAACAGAGGAAAACATTCAGGAGTGAAAGTGACATATGGAGAAATGTGATTATTGTAATGGAGGAATATGAGCTAAGTGTCCTTAGTCACTTCCGAAGGTCTGGGGCAACAAAAAGAAATTTCTGAAAAATATTTGAAAGGTGATAAACCATAAACCAATGGCTTAAGATCTCATTTACTATAGCTTTCATCTGCTTGTACTCATGAACTCACCTGGGTGACACTGGCTTGAGAATCCTTGCTTTAATATCCAGGGTTCTTCTCCTTGCTCTATCTTGATGATCACTTCTGGCTTAGTAATGCAATACCCTGTTAACAAAAAATAATACAGCACTATTGCTAAACAGCCTGGTTTTAGGGACTCTGAAAAATGATGGGGAAGAAAGTTAAACCTTAAGGAGCTATTCAGAAAGGTACCCAGATGAACCAATCCCTGAGGGGGTAAGAAGACAGAATTCTTTATGGTGGTCAAAATGGACTGTTCATCTCAGAGCCTTATATCTCAAACTTCAAATCAGAAAATTCTACAGGAAGTTCATACATTTCATCAACTAAGAGATGCCTGCTACGTGTAGTCACATGGAAAAATTCTTACCTACTGAGACAAGGTGGCTATAATTTTCAAGCATCATATCTCTGTACAGTATCTTCTGAGCATGATCCAACAGAAACCATTCTTCCTGGGTGAAGTCCACACATACATCTTTGAATGACACTGGTTCCTGTAACGGTATATTCTTTTTCTATATGAAGCTGTCAGAACTATATTATGAGGGAAAAATGTGAAAGAACTAATCTCTTTAGAGTTTACTAAAAATTGTCATACAGGATGCCTTCTTCTGTGCTATACTATGTAGGATAAACTATGTACAATTTCCACTAAGGGCTTGGAACTGTCCTAACTACTGCAAATACTACTGATTAAAAAGAAACACAGTTTCTGTTCTCAAAGTGCTTATGACCTCATAAAGAAACCTATACATTATCATTTATTAAATTAGACATTGCAGGAGCTAGCAATATGCACAAAGTAGATTGGGGTTACCAAGGAAAAGTTAGTTGTTTCTAATTAAGTTTTTTATACTACATTAACTTCCACTGAGGAAATAAAACTGTCAGTTGTTAAAATGAATAGTGGGTATTGAAATGAATATGGTGCAGGCCCTGACCAAGTTCAACCCATGATTAATTAAGGTGACCAGCCCTGCATTTTACCTGCCCATCTGAGAAAAAGATGAATCCTCTCTGCTACAAGAGATAGTTTTTCTGGAGCCTCTATCATTTTTTGTTGTTAAAGATAATGTTTGGCATCCAATAAAATATTTCATGTTCTGTAAAGAGACAAGGACCAAGAAAAAAATAGACAATAGAAGCAGATTCACAGGGGATCCAGATATTTAAATTGAAAAGCAAAATCTTCAAAATAAATGATGAATATGTTCAATAAGACAGATGAAAATATGAGCAAAATAAATGAAAAAATGCGAGTTCAACAGATATATGGCATGTGTGTTGTGCAGAAAAGAATTAATATAGCAGGCCTGACACTGTTAGCCCTTGAAAGATCTGCCACAAGGGGGGTCCTTTGGCTGGCATCTGCGAACTTGTATTTCAGGAGGGTTCTCACCATCCTCTGATAAGAATGGTTCACTGAACCTAAACTATTTGTGTAAACAATATGGCTTATGTTGTACACATGCATTCCTTCTGAAGTCTGGGATTTTGTGTGCTAAACAGAGAGTACCTATGTGACTAGGCCCTGATAAAAACTCTGAGCACTGGGTGTCTATTGAACTTCCCTGGCAGACATTTCGTTTGTTGTCATAGAGGACATTGCTAGAGGACTAAGTGTGTCCTTGGAGAAGACTCTTAGAAGCTTGTGCCTGGTGTCATCTGGACCCCATATTCGTTTTCCCTCTGTTAATTCTGCTTTGTGACCTTTCATTTTAATAAATCATAACCGTAAGTACAACTACATGCAGAGTTATCCCAGTTTAGAATCACTAAACCTGGGAATGCTCTTGGGTTTCCTCTGATACAAGCGTATACATACACACATGTGACACATACATTCACAGATATATTAAATGGCATTCTATAGATGCAAAATACAGTATCTGAAATTAAGAACTCATCAGATGAGTTCAAAATCATACTATGGAAAGGAGAAACATTCTGAAACATGTATGTATCTAACTTTAAAAGAGTATCAAAATACATACAACAAAAACATAGAACTGAAAGGAGAAACAGACAAATCTATAATCATAGTTGGAGACCTCAACACTCCTCTCTCAGCACTGAGAGATCAGGCAGGCAGAAAATCAGTAAGTATATAGATGAACTAAGCAGCACTATTAATCAACATGATCTAACTGACATCCCGAACAGTAAAATACATATTCTATCTTTCTATTCTAGCTCACATGGAACATTCACCAAGATGGAACATACACCACAAACCACAACTTAACAAATTTAAAACAAGTTAATAATTAATATTTATATTAATAAATACAATAATTTTATAAATTATTTATAATAATAAAATATATTCTCAGGCCACAATGGAATTAAACAGAAATTACTAAGCAAGTGACATCTGGAAAATTCCCCAAACACTCGAAATTAAGAACAGATTAATAAATAATTTACAGGTCCAAGAAATCACAAAAGAAATTTTAATATATTTTAAATAAAATTAAAATGAAAATGCCATTTATCAAAATGTATGGAATGCAGTAAAAGGAGTGCATAAAGGGAAATTTATACCATCCAATGAGTATGTTAGAAATAAAAGCTTTACAATCAGTAACCTGTAATGTCAGAGAAATGGCAGTATGAGAGATCTCCCTAGGTCTCTCCCCTTGAAGTTTCAACCTGAACAGCTATAATTCAACAAAGAATTCCCTTTTCAACACATAAATACATCTGACAGATCTGAGCATCTAAATATCTGAAAGTGGGCGAGTGGGAATGAACCAGGGAGGCAAGAAGGGAGAAGAGCTCAAAGGAGTTAGGGACACAGTCCTGCGGCCTGGAGGTCACTGCAGGAACTAGCCAGGAGGAGGGGAGAAATCAGGTTGTGGCTGGCACTCCCTTCAACCAAAAAGAATAAAGAAATTTAGTGAGCATTACTTCAGCTGTGGGCAGCATAAGCTGCAGCTGATCCCAGTGACCTGCTCAGAGACAGACAGACATGTGGCCACAGTCGTCTGGCAATCAGCATTCAAACAAAGCCCAGGAACCTGGCAGCCTACCCTTAACCTCTCAGAAGCTCTTATCCTCACTCTTTGGTGTCAGTTTGCAGAGCACATTATCTGCAAACCTGAAAACTGTTACTACAGAAAGGGTACGCTCTGTGAGTAATCCCAGGGTCAGGTGGAGGCACAGGAAGGATGACAAGGAGGTCAAATTGAGTCTACAGCCGGGGGCGGGGGGGCAAACCAAAAAAGCAGATGGGTTCCTTCAGCTCACCCCACACATTGAGGCTGAACTGCAGCAGAATCTGGTTGTGGGGGAATAGCACTGGGATCTCAAGGATTTGGAGCTCCATCGCCCACCACATTGCCTCAGAGGGAGACTGAGGGAACCTGAAAATGCAGAATAAGCCTACCATCCCAGGGAACAAAAGCCATTTTTCAACACCCTCAGAAATCTGAAAAGACAGAGAAGTATAAGAGAGCTAAAAAAACCTTTTGAGTCAGCGCCACCTACTTTCTGTTCGTACAACAGAAAGACCTTTTTATCAATCTACTAGAGAAGTGCCACTCATGTATAGATGACTAGACAGAGAAGAATTCCATCAAATGCCACAAATAACCAAAGTAACAAGGTAGCTTGGAAAGAAAATGTTTTAAAAATCTCCAGAAAATAAACTTAAAGACATACAAATATGTGAGTTAAATGACAGAGAATTTAAGATAGCATGCCTGAAAAAACTCAATGAGATGTAAAAAAAAATTACAATAAGGCAGTTTAATGAACTCAGAAACCATATCAACAAACAAAAAACGTACTTTATCAAAGAGATTAAAACTTTAAAGGAGAACCATTCTGGAGATGAAGAGCTCAATAAAAGAAACCAAGAAAGAACTAATGAGCATAGCAAATAGGGCTGACCAAATGAAAGAAAGAATTTATGATATTGAAGACAAAAAATCTAGAAATAACCTGGAGGGAAAAAGAGACAGACTTAAGTATTAAAAAAAAAAGAGCATGAAAGAACTCTGCAAGAACTATGTGATTCCATAAAAAAAAACCAATATAAGAATAATAATGATACCAGAAGAGGGAGAGAGGGAGAAGGAACTGAACCTACTTAAACAAATAGTTGAAAATAACTTCCCAAATCTATGGAAAGAGCTGGCTTCTCAAATCCAAAAAGCAAACAGAATACCTAATTACCTCAATCAAAAAGGCCTTCACCAAGGCACATTGTATTAAAATGGTCAAAAATTAATGACAAAGCATTCTCAAGGAAGTCAGGGAAAAGAAGAGAGTAACCTACAAAGAAAAGCCTATTAGGTTGTCATCAGACTTCTCAGAAGAAGTCTACAAGACAGAAGAGAGTGGAACCAAATACTCAAACTACCGAAAGAGAGAAATTACCAGCTACCAATAATGTATCAGGCTACTTTATCCTTTAGATACGAAGGAGAAATAAAGACTTTTCTAGACATACAGAAGCTCAGGGAATTTATCACCACAAGACGTCCACTGCAGGAAATAGTTGTGGGGATTATTCTACCTGAAACAAAAAAAGAAAGGCCACAAACTACAAGTAAGACCACCAACAAACTTACAGCATAAATAGGGATAATCTGTGACAACAAAAACATAAAACTGGAAGGGGCAAACGTGAATTCGCAAAGGGGGACGGAGATCAGATGCATTCAAAAGAAAAAAAATATACTGTATACATGAAACTTTCTTTTTCATAAACCTAAAGGTAACCACACACACAACAAACCCCAAACTGAGAAATATACCTTAAAAAAAAGAAAACAGAGGAAAGAAGTATGGAATACCACCAAACAAAAACAATAGAAACACAAAGGAAAAAAACTAATGAAGGCAGAGATACCAGAAAACAAAAGATAAAATGGCTATAGGAAATTCTCATACATCAATACCCTAAATGTAAATGGATTTAATTCATCAATAAAAGGCACAGGGTAGCAGACTGTTTAAAAAAAATATGCTGCCTTCCGGAGACACACCTAAACTGCAGAGTCAAAGACAGAGTCACAGAAAATGATTTACTAAGCAAATAGCATCCTCAGAAAAGCAGATGTAGCCATACTTGTATCTTGACAAAAGAGATTTCAACATAATAAAGGAAGCAAGAGACAGACATAATTTATAATGATAAATGGAACATTATTACATCAATAAACCTAACACTTCTCAATATACGTGCAACAAATCAGGGAGCACCAAAATACATGAAGCAACTCCTAAGATAACTAAAAAGGGCAATTGACAAAAACACAACTATAGTAAGGGACCTAAATAGACTGTTGATGGCTGAAGACTGACCATCCAAACAGAAAATCAATAAATATCTGTCTTCAAAGACACATGAGACCAAATGGACATAATTGATATTTACAGAGCCTTTCATATCAAAATATCAGTCTATACAGTCTTCTGTACACATGGAACTTTCTCAAGAATAGACCACAAGTTGGGACACAAAACTAGTCTCAACAAATGTGAA